CATATTCAGCAATGAAGGGGCCTACACCGATCCTTCGGCTTCCCGAAGCATGCACATTCCTTGTGCGTGGCGGAGGTCAGCAGAGGCAGGCACCAACCTGAGCAATGTTTTTCAAGCTAAAACAGCAGAGGGATTGGCACAGAGAAATACGTATTTGCTTCATTTCCCGTTTTTCCTTACTTACGTTATCAAATCATTTTCCTGAACACCAGTTGGCATCCGATACACGAACTTGCGCACCCACACGGCAGAGATGGTCGTAAGGGCTGCTGCAGACGAAATCTCTTCAAAACCTTGCCGCCGGCCCTCCTCTGACACTGCACACCTGTATTTATTCAGTCATGAACAGGCTCACACCCACCTAGTGGCTTTCAAAGAAAACAATCTCCCAGATAGGTTTATTATTGCTTCCATGAAGACAAAATAAACCCCGAGCAATTTAGTATTAGTCAACTACCAATTTCTATCATCGTCCGTCGGTTATCACAGTTTATGTAATTTCAGTTTGGTAATCAATTGACAGTTCATGCACTTTGCACCCTGTCCCCATATCGGGCTGGGGTGCTTCTGGACTTCAATGAACCAGTACGCACCCAGTCTTGATTGATAAGTATCCGACCAGCCCTAATAAATGTCATTTCGATGAAATGATTAGGATTCAGCTCTTAAAGCACGATATGGACCCAAGTCTGCCATCCTGGGGAATAACCTAAATAAACCAAAACAGTTATTTTGTCTGTGCTGCTACCCTCATTCTACAGTCTACTGTTATTTACCCGTTGCCTATATGTTGGCATTCAGGGAGTGAAGGCTATTTGAATGACATGTCCAGACGCTCAGATTACTGACAAAACTCAAAAGCATGAGTAGCTTACGTAGGCCCTCTCATTAATCCAAACACCCTGCATGTTTTCCCACGAAAACGGTGGTTAAAGGGTTTTATAAGTGGAGAATTAGGACACGCAATGAAAACTATTTTAATAAGCGCTTAATTAATTTTTATTTTACTGTACATAAAGTGTTGTTGATTTATATCTGTAATATTTCTTGATCTGTATTATCGTTTAACTTATTGCGGAAAAACCCGATTATAGAATTGCAGGCGTCATAAATTTCCCTAAAAATTGAAATTATGGTTAACAGGTCGTCTACTCCAACTTACCTGAGGTCCAACTTACCTTTCTGGAGTTCAATTATTATAGTCCGGGGCGCAAATCACCGCGCAAACCTTTAATTTACATGCGGAATAACCTGCTACCAGCGGCTGCGGGAAGCAACTTCGACCACATTTTTTTCACTATTTACTTCTAAAAATTTCCTTCTCTGGATATCCTATTTTTTCACCTCCTTAAACTCTATAACCACCCTTTCAGCAGGACAAAATGCTGGGACTAGTGGTATATGAGTGGAGCTACATAAGCTGATTTTGCAAACTCAAGATCAAACTACCGCCAAATATTATGTCAAAAAAACCGCGAAAATTTCCATTCATAATCTATTCTGGATAAGTCTTTCTCTATTTAGATTGACCAGCAGTGGCTTAAAAAAGGATGCAGGATTCGGGTGCTTTCGTGTATGACACACACGTAAAGAATTCAAGAGGTTATCTTCAGCATAGTGTATACGTTACGAAGCCGGATGAGGCACGACCTTTCCGCGCTAATCTGACCACGGCTTCAATAAGATAGTCGATTTGGCCACTGAATTAAACAAAGCATTTTGATGATAAGTGTTTTTCATTAAATTTCTTTTGTGTTGGCACATTTAACAGCCGTATTCCGACTCCCGCTAAAACATGGTAGTTAACGTTGTAACTTTAGTCGCTTCGGACTATTTTGGACAATATATAGGGAACTTCTCGGCACCGTGCCGCGAACAGATCTTGCATATTTAACTCAAAAAGTATACATTAATCAGAGCATTGCGAGCATGACGACATAATCGAAAATTTCACTCAGTTGTATCCCAATTCGAGACGCGTTTAGAGCTGAATAATAAACGCGTGATTTGGACTGTAGTCATTGTGACGTTTGGTGGTATAAATGGTAAAATATTCAGCTGTGACTTTGTACACCAGCCAAATTAACAATGTTTAGAGATTTCGTACGATCTGAATGAAAAATTTGTAGAGAAATCAGAAAGCTATTTGGCGAGAGCAAGTAGGTTTTCTATAGATTCTTATCAGGCCATAACATTTATATGGGAATGAGATGCAAGATAAACAACCGGTAAATCATAGTCGCCTTTTCTTACAAGCGAGTCATGATAATCTGGGAGAGGGGTTGATAAAATAAATAAACAGTCTAGGGAGAGAAAAGGGAGGGGGCGGGAATGGAGACAGAGAGCACGGGCGTGCGCGGCTGTGGGCCATGCCAGACGTGGATCTTGTAAAAGGTTTGCGCTCGGCAACTGCTCTTTTGAATTCTCTGGTTGGAATCTTTGCAGCATTACAATTGTTATTGGTTATGGACCAAAACTGAAATGTCTGGTCTCCTTATTATGCGTGCTACTGCGCTTGGTGATAGACCCGCGACGAAATTTATAATCTCTGGTGAATAAATTGTTCGTCCCAGCGATTGCGTCTGCTTTTCTCACGTACAACTGTGCCAGGGAACAAAACCGATAATGATCTGTTCTATTCAAATGGACAAGTAACGCTGCACCACAAAGTTTCAAATAGAGCCGGCAGGAATGGCTATAATAGCAAACATGGGTACACTCAAAACTGCCCCCCTAAAATCTAAGTGTGATGTGTTTGTTTGCGCCTCTTAGGCACACAGCCGTGCAGAGTAAACATCAGGATTAACAAAACTTGAGATTGTATGCCACTTACTGTGTATGCACTAATTCAACATCCCATTTAGTATAGAAGCTAATATTTTCATCAGCTACATTCTTCTGCCTGTCGAGGGTAATGTTCGAAACGGACATTGGCCTGGTCTCTGTTCCTCTAACTCAACTACTGTCATGTTACAGGTATAACTACTTTGGCGTGGCTTTATACTATAAAAGTTATACTTGGTCTTGTCCTTTGATAGACGCAACATTAAAAAAATATTGCTCAATTATTGTTTCCAGACTGCGATCCAGGTATCCCGACGCATCCGGATGGAAAGAGGCACAGAGAGAGAGATTCATGCTTATGAGGTCCTTATTATTGCTCTACATAATATTGCTTGCTAATTGTTTGATAAAAAATAGGTGATTTCCGTTTAATTTCATTGAAAAACAATGATGTATCGAAAAGGCAAAAATGACTGATAATTCCAGCTGCCACATATTAAGACTGAATGAAAATCTGGTGGAAATCGTTGGACCAAGGTAGACTGAAATAAAATTAAATCTAATTATGATACTCAACCTAATAAACCTCTCAACTTAGTCGGGGTATGTAGCTATAATTCCGTAAATGGCAGAAAAGTTGAAATATACGGGGCCAAGTATACACCATATGGATTTTAACATTCAGGACTCGGCTATTTCTACATCAAATACGATCCACTGAAAACATCTAATTTTAAACATTGCTTGACATTTCACTGAATGAAAGAATCCAGTTTTTATATTTGCAACAGTAGCAACAAATGTCAATGTCAAAGCTGCGTTTGAACAGGAATCCGCAGCTTCCTTTGTATATAACGCTTGAACTGGACCTTTTGCGTGGGCATTTTTAAAATAGCATGCATAGATACGGTGATATTAGGTAACTGCGCAAAGATACTAGTAACTGGACTATGACCCAATTAATAGTAATTATCGCTACAGCTTATAGCATGAACCTGAATCCAAACCTAGTGCAAATGTGGATTAAAATCAGTCCGAAATGTTACTCATTCTAAAACGACTGTTATTTCCAGAAGAAATTTTAAATCACATGTAACTGAAAACAAAATAGCTGGTGTAGGCTGTAACGCTTAGGGCTTTCACGCAGATCAAGACATAGGTAATTATGGTAAAGATACCGTTTACACCCTCATTATTTTGACAAAAATGTATCGATTATAGGTTGGCATAAAACTCGCATGCATTTTTCACCCCTAATACAATACAGTTTCCCGCGCCAGGAATTAATATGAACGTCTTAAGTTGACCTGAAATTTCGACCATCTCTGTATTACTTCATAGGAGTGGGCTAATACATGCAACCATTATTCAAAGGGGGTGACAATCCATTCTGCTTAAAAGCTTTAACGCTTCGAGAGCTAAAGCTTTGCACCCTATTTCATAGCCGTTTATTTTATAGCAATAGTCGACGTTTGATGGCATTTTAAAGATCATATAATGATACATTTTAAATAACTAGCGTCTGACTTCTAAAGGCTGCCCAAAGCCCTGATGACTGCTTACCTGTTATCTGGAGATTCCACTGTGTTTTTATTTTTCATACACTATCGCCAGGTTAACAGATATAAATAAAGGTGCAATTCAAGCCCTTAGTTTTTGAGCTGATGCAGGCCAGCCAAAATTGTTTGGCATGTGTTCTATAACATAAGTTTCAAAAGATGTACTAACTGAATAAATTCTTTACCGCAGCCCCCTAAAGTATCACGCTCGATAACTCGAAAACGCAACCTCATCTTTTTGAACAGCGACGGGGTTCGGTAGTCACTGTCAAGATGCCGCTCTTCTGTGTATTCATAATAATCCCAAAGAACTATGAAAATGACCAACGACTCGACAAGCAATTCGCAGAAAGTTTTCATTCGCAGCTGACATTATATTATTTTACTAGACCCTACCAGTACTCAGTACCGTTTGCCACTACAAGAGCTTACAAAAACATCAACATCAGCCACCTTCGCTGCAGTGGGGCTGGAACTCGGACAGGGTATTGTGACTGCTTGGTCGTCGGGACTGTCTGACGTTGCTTATTTCGACCCCTGAACAACTAGATCATGATCACCATCCTGTCGGGAGTCCTGATGTACAGTTTTGGCCACCGTCTCTGCCGGATGCCTCGAGCTCGAACTGGCTAGATTCGATGCTTTGCCAGCATGGACTTAGATGCTGTCGATAAGGGTGCTCGTGAGGCCAGGCACAACAACTCTAGGAGCCTTCACTGTAGGTGTCGGCACACTCTTGTCGTTTGGAATGGTTTCCTTAGTTTTAACTGATGACACAATCGCCTCTTTGTTGTCTACATCGAGGGTGTTTGTATTTGTCTCAACTGTGTCTACATGGTCAACTATGGGGACCTGTACTTCACGTATGGGCACCCTCTGTTGTTCCTTAGTTGGGTCATGCATATGCATGGAAACTGTCCTTTTTTCATTGCAGCAATGGTCTGCTGGAAGAGTTATTGCATATTTGCCATTTTTACCTCAAGTTTACCATACTTAAAGGCTAGAACATAATAGCCGTCACAACGGTTTCCTGCCTTCGTCGATCGCACCCAATTAGTAAGCGTGCGGCGATAGCGTAGTGGTCAACGTCGCGGTCTTGTGTTAGGGTGGTTTTGGGTTCGAATCCCTCTCGCGGCAGGTTTTACATTTGACTTCTAGTTAGCATTATTTTCGCACAACAACTATGTTTTCAGCAAAAAAGGTTCAGGTGTGAAGGGTTGCCTTATATTTGAGACAGAAAGCCTAGGTTCTCGCTTTGCTAATGTAAAAATACGTTAGAAGTTGAATCTCCTTACTTAAGACGATTGGTTTTAGAATTTAGGAAGCAGAACTTGGATGTACTCCTAGAAAAATGTCTCAACTTGTAAATTTATTTCAGGTTTCATAAGACCAGTTGTAACAACCGGGCTAGTTTAATTCTTATCCACTAAGTAATTCCAAAACTGGTATCAAAACAGATACCATATAATGTAAGGGAGTGACTCAGCCTTTGTAGATTTTTCTCCTACTCCTTCGATGGTACTAACTTCTGAGAATTTTCCCAGCGACAGCGTTGCAGGAGGTTGGTTGGTCCAAGTTCGTTTAGAGAGAGTTTTTGCGATATTCTGCTTTGCTTGTTCGAAGGTAAGTAGGCGAGCAGATGGATTTAGGCCCAGGTCGCGATTGAAGAGAGGAACACAGTGGTACGATTTGTGCAATGAACAAATATTTAGAGTATCCTGCTTTGTATGTAAATCAAGTGTGCTGCTCTTATCACACTCTGTCTCCTCGCTGGAAACAAATAGTTTTATCTTGATATGCCAGTTCACTAGTTCCTTATCTCATTTACATGGTAGTTGACTAGGTCAATTTGTAATCACACGGTCGAGTAGAGATGCATCATTCTTAAAATAGAGCTCTGAACACTTTGGAACAATCGGATTCAAGGCTCTGCGGCATTTCTGCAGCCACAAATAACAGTCCTGAATAAGTGCATGGGTCCTTCACCTGCCATTTTGCAAAGTCCATTGCCTCGCTATCCCACAGTTCATCGGCGGCTTGTAGAAGAATATCTCCTGAAGCAAGCGATTGTCTACGCAGCTGTAGAGAAATTCGACTTCTGCCTCTGTTGATTACACACGAACGGCAAATATTAATCATCGTCTTGTTGACTCTATCGCTTTGCGCCCGAACATATCGTCCATTGAACCAAAAAAGCGCCTCTCTGGGCAATAATAAGAAGAGGAGGCGATCACCGCAACAAAAGCTTTAGTATCCCGACGTTTACAAAGCCTATAGACTTCCATCGTCGGAGGTAGGTTCTGTAGGTCACCTCACACGACCAGGTGGAACAAAGTCTGCTCTTTCAAATTCAGCCCCTGCAACACGAAAGCCAAATCTCCTAACCACACAGTTGACAAACGATAACACAGTCTGTTTGCAAAAACGAATTTTATTGAGAAAGTAGGAATCAAAGATATGAACAGAGATGGAGATACAATGAATAGGACGATGATTGTGCAAAAAAAGTTAATTTAATACCTCAGATTCCACTCGCTGTGATGTTCCACAGCAGACGAAACGCTTCCAACACTTTCCTAGGTGGCGTCGGAAACTCTTCGATCACCTCTGATCCAAGAGGAATGTTGCTTCTAAAATGATGCACACAAATGAAATTAGCTATCGCCTTTGTTTTACACGAAAAAGGACTAATATGAATTGCATGGAAAAGAAGCCATCTTGAGGCTCAGGCATCATTCACGTACCCGACGGCTTTGCTTCGATGGGAGATATTCTAATGTATTCGTCCCCTCACCATCCATTTTCTCCTCCTTTTCTTCTTCTTCTTCTTCTTCTTCTTCTTTCAATTGATCAATGCAACTACTTGTATCACCTTTTCTCTCCTCATCATCATCAAGTTGGTTCTCAGACTCCGTAGAGTACACCCTTTCCTCCTCCTTCTCAGTCTCTTCTGAGACATCCTTGATCATTTCGCTGCCTGCTGCATTATTATGGGAGTTAGTCACTGGAAAACTTGAATTCTGGATCGATTCATATCTACAAACAGGATATAGGAATAATTCGGTCAGACATCTTGAAGTTTTCTAGTGAATGAAATAACCAATAGAGCACCGGAGTTTTGCATATGCTGGACTCACCCTTTAGAATCAAAATCATCTTTCGATGGAAAATTATTAATGAATCGACGTTTGTACAGCTTCCACCACATTGGGTGGTGGTTGCGTTGGAGAAGAGAAGAGACAACGTGAAGAAAGTTAAAAAGAGAGGTGTGAGCGATGTCTGCAATAGAAAAAGCGTGCGAGGAATATGTTGAGTGATATCTACTATTCCATAAACATGCATGTAAAGCATATGACTGCAAAATATTATAAAAGTTCTCATTTACATTTAAGTACTTTCTGAGTTAGCATATGGTTAGATGCGCACACATTAAAAGAATTTGAGTACTCACCATGTAGTTGAAAAATCAGCAAACCTAGAGAACCATTGAATGTACGATTCGAAAAAATGTTGACAAAGAAGATCAGCAAAGCCTCAGACAGGAGAATTTCCGCGGAGCGTTCAGTCTCTCGCTTCATTGTCTTGTCCGTAGTGCGTTTGAATGGCTGGAGAGTATTGATTTTTACCAAGTCACGCAGGTTCAAATGAGCGCCAAAGTCGAAAATGTGTGCGTGCCGGCTAGGCGTGAGGCCCTGGAGTTGATGGGAAACTCTCCTCCTTCATTCGCCTTTCCTTCGGTTGATTGCGCTTTGACCGCAATCGCGAGACATAATTTGATACCTGACGCAGGCTTTATGAACATATTCACTGACTGACGTGACGTTTGGATAGCAGGCGGGTTTCGTGAAAACGACATAAGTTTCCAAATAAGTATGAACTGCGAGTCCTGTGGTAATAAGGATTATACAGTTTGAGCATTACAGAGGAAAGGTAAAGTAAAAAAGGGAACAAAGGGTATAGAATTAGTAAAACTATTTACTGAAACTTATGTTTGTTAACAAGAAAACCTGTCATGAATAAAAAGACAAATACAATCAAAAGCAATCGAGAATTCAGCAGAATATGGATATTCGCAAATATTATAACTGCCGAAATTTGGGGACGGTGCAAAGGACTGCAAATTTTCACGATTAAATAAATAAAATAAAATATAAGGTAACGACCGCATGCCACTAATAAACTTTATACTAAAGTAAAGTAAGTAAAGAAAAGTTAACTAATAATATAAGCTTACTTAACTAAACCAAAACTAACAGTTAACAATGCGCTGCTAACTTGTCTCGGGAGATCGCCCATAAAGGCTGTTTTGCAGTCTGTGATTGGCAAAATCTCCTAGGTGAGACGAGACAATATACCTATTTACTGATTTCTCGGACCTTCGTTGTTTAGCAGATAACAATTTGGATCAGACGAGCATTCTCAACTAAATATAATACGACATATTCGCGGTAAATTAACCCGCACAATGAGGTCTCTTCGTGAGCTAATGAAAATCAGTTACTCAACAGTTCTATTTTAAAAATTGCCTGTCTACTGAATGCCAGAGATGAATGTCCGCGTCCTTAATTTTTTCTGAATTTGAAGTTAAAGCCATTAGGTTCGTTCATACCACACCCTGACTATTATTTGACGAGAAAAAAATTTTAGGCCGCACTGCAAGAATACGACCGCAAAACCGGATGCTCAGTGGAACATTTAGACATCTCTCTAGTAGTTGGCTTGTGTCATTAGTGATGGCAAATTAAACTATAACAACTGTTCAACCAACTACTGGCGGCTGCTAGCACCTGCACATGCAGCAGTGTCTATCTAATCTAGACCGGTCTAGCCAATCCCCTTCAGGACTGACGACTTCGGACGCCGGACTATCACTTGTGGTCGTTTACTTGTCCAAATTTCCAATTCTTCCAAATCGATTGTCTAGACATTTGTACGAAATATACTATTCCTCAAACCGCCTCTCACCCCCCACATACTCAACCAAGTGCAATTTCAAACGTCTCCCACATTAGCTTAAGCTTCTGAGA